AAATACACGTGATGCTGTAGCAAAATATTGATTGGGGAGTCTTCTGACACCATGGTAAATCACCTGGCAAAGAATTTAACAAAAGTTGGGGGGTGTCAGTGTTTCTTTAAGTTGTGGGGAATTTTTGTGGATGTACGGAAATACAGCAGGGCGTTGTCGCTTTTCCATGCTTCTGAGTTTTCCTTTGGACTTCATCATGTTTCCAGCTACATCCAACACTACAGATCCTGAAGATTAAAGTCGTTGCACTTGAGAATAAAAGCTCTCTTCGGCTGTGCGGCTGCATGACTTTGCAAGCACTGCACTCAAAACAATTGGTCGCTATACCTCTTGTTATGAGCTTAAAGTGTGTCGATGCATATTGAAGGAGCTTTTCCTTTGATCGTGGGGAGTATGTTCAGCACAAATGGAGATCTTGGAAATGTAGTCTTAGGTCTAAAAACTCTAAAGTGCCATTTGTAGCGAGCTCATGGGTGAACTTGAGCTCCTGTGCATGTTCCAAGAAGGTGGTCTGAATGTTGTTAATGACGTAAGCTTTTTATGAGCTTAGAGTCTGCCGATTCGTATTGAAGAAGCTTTTTCTTTGATCACGGGGAGTATCTCCAGCACGGGATCCAGCCAACTCGTCCATGACCCATTTATTAAACAGGCCAATTCGTCGTAGGGAAACTTGTCGAAAGGGGCAATCCGTAGAACGGCGATTTGACGAATGGGATGAATAACAGTCCAAGGTAAAAACTTGTGGTTTCTTGTTATTTTTGGACAAATATTTATTTGTGTTTGGACTAGGGATAGCACCCTTGTTAGGTTACAAGACAGAAAGAAAAATTGCCAGTGTGTGAAAAGACAGGACAAGACTGTGAGAGAAGTTGAGAAATGTGTAATCTCGGGATCATCCCTTTCTTTATTACTTTTTGTAATGAGCCGCCGCAAACTTTGCCGCGAAGCTGTTTGAACGGGCAGACAGGTGGGTTTACATTTTTGTATTTACCTGCAACAGACTGTTGCCGCGAAGCGCCGTGAATGGGTGGGCCGGGTAGGTTAACATGCACCCCAGTGATACACGCGACGTAGTGACCGTCCCCCAGCGCACCATAAAAGCGGCGAAAGCGGCAAATTCTTATCTTCGACAAGAAAGATCACACTGGAGGTCAATTACCGTGCGACGATTTTACGGATGACTATAAGGCAGTACTTGCTTTAAAGTTTTTGGAGAAAAATTATATACTGTAAACAACTTCTTCTTCGCGGGCTCAATATTTCGCGATTTAGGTCAAACATGAGGTTTTGGAATAATTTCCAGGTTCTAAGTTTCGCGACGCGGTGGAGTCTCAATATAAATTCCAATGTGTTCACATTTTACCGGAATCGTTCGCGGGGCCTATTTTTTTCGAAATTCGCGAAAATTAAGTTTTCGCAAAAATTAAGTCGTTTACAGCATTTTATCTTTGAAATACTGGGTGTATCAATGAGTGGCCAGGCTCTATAAATCGACCGCAAAATTCGGTTTCTTAACCTATTGCGCTACGATTTTGTGCAGCGATGCCTACAGATGGTGCATATTTTTTTTGTAAAATTTGCAAAGAGCGAACTTACCTGAGGAAAAAGTAAAGAAAGAAAAAGGCTTAGCTCCTATGAAAATGCGTCGAAGCCAAAGGTCTTCAAACAATACGGCGCCGTTTCGCACGGGAGACAAGAGATGGCACAAGCGGTTGCGACGCCAACTGCGCCAACGAACGAGCATACGGCGCCGAAAGCCGGCGTCTTTAGCAGACAATCTTTTCGACTCAAAAGCGGAGCGCGTTCCGCAGGTGGCGACAGTCGCAGAAACAAAAACAGGCGCGGTAACAACAAGGAACTGCAAAGCAGACGACCTCGGTACCCAAAAAAAAAAAAAAAAACAGTCAAAATACCCCTACAAACCATTTTTCTAATTGATTATGTGTCCATTCAATATGTTTTATCACTAAGGATGATAAAATAATGCATTGGCAACTGATATCAGAAAAGCTCGAGCGCCGCTTTTGAGTCGAAAATATTGTCTGCGAAAGACGCCGGCTTTCGGCGCCATATGCTCGTACGTTGGCGCAGTTGGTGTCATGACCGCTTGCGCCATCTCTTGTCTCCCGTGTGAAACGGCGCCGTATCGTTTGAAGACCTTTGGCTTCACCGCATTTCCATAGGATTGGCTCCTATGGAAATGTGGCGAAGCCAAAGGTCTTCAAACAGTATGGTGCCTTTTTCTTTCTTTACTTTTTTCTCAGGTAAATTTGCTCTTTGCAAATTTTACAAAAAAAAAATGCACGATCTGTGGGCAACGCTGCACAAAGTCGTAGCGCGATAGGTTAAGAAACCGAATTTTGCAGTCGATTTAAAGAGCCTGGCCACTCCTTGATAAACGCAGAAGTGGCGACCAGCTGGCCTCTTCGACGAGTTGCCCTATGATAAATTGGCCGTCAACGAGTAGGTTTTCGAAGAGGTGGCTTAGACCAGACTAGTACACGTCACTGAAAAATAGTAAGGAATTACATTTACAATTACTCAAGGCTCAATTGTAATTAATTACAATTATAATTACTCTCCCATAAAAGTAAGCGACTGTTACCCCAAGAAGTAATCCGTTACTTTCGTGGCGTTACTTTCAACATTATTGTCCTCAATTAAGAAACAAACGGAAGAGGGTTACTCAAGTTCTTATTGTTGCAACCTGTTCCATTTAAAGGTGAGCGGCGTTTTAGTAGATCGTTCCGATACCTCCGACACCCCCGATGATGATATGATGCATGCGCAAAGGCAGCGGCGGAGTATCCGGTATCGTTATCAGTGTCATCGGGCCGATCTACTAAAATTCTCCATGGTCGAAATCGCGAAGCTGTAGAAGTTGTCATACATCTAGCCAAAAATAGAATAAGAATTGATTTATGTACATCTTACTATACCAGCATTAATTGCCAGACAAAAGCAAAACATAGTTGTAACAGTAAGGAGATAATTAAATAATAAATAAGGTTTGGCTCGATATTCTTCTTCCTTTGGTTCTGAACAAGTCGAGCCTCGTTTGAGACGCTGGTGACTAAGAAAGTCTCCAATATTTAAATATAAATAATCGAAGAAAAAAACACCAGTCTTGAAGTGCTTGCGAAAAGCTGAGTCACAAAAAAGGTGACTAAGATGCAGGTAACCTGGCTGGAATTCACAAATAAAGTGGGACAACCCTAGGAGTTGTACTACAAAACAAAAACAGCTTTTAAAACAGGGTCAAAGAAGGTGAAAGAAGCAGAAAAAAATACATCCCGTTTTCTAAGAGAAGATGATAAGTGTGTAGCAATGAACGAGGATGCTTGTGGCAATAAACCCTTCACATATTATCACATCTCTTTTAGTGGATTTTAGGTAGACGGAGCGTTGTCTCATGTTGTGTCATTATGAAATTGGTCGTAGTAACTATAACTGAGAGGGACATTGTTAATTATTTTCTGTGCACTTACGGCCTCGAGCTTCTCGAAGAGGAACACAATCACTTGGTGTCCTTCGCTCCCCGTCTTCGATCGCGAAGAAAAAACAAAGGGACTAAACAAAGCGGATATAGCTTGTGCCCACCCACTTTTTTTTTCCTTTTTTGTAGAAATGCCCATTTGGATCTTCAAACATTGTTGTTATTGTCTAAAAAAAAAAAAAATTCAGGGGCTTGGTGTTGAAAAAAAAAAAAAAAAGGCTTTGGGGAACGGAAGAGTGCCAAGACTCCTTTTGCTCAGGTCAATTCGCGTGACAGTGAACAATCCTTTCTTTAGAAGCGGGGGGGGGGGGGGGGGGGGGGGAGGATGTCCTGAAAAAAATGTAACAGATTACGAAGAATCCGCTACGTAAAAAATATAAGGGAATTACTTGAAAATTACTCGAGAAAATATGTAATTATTCCGTTACTAAATTACTGATATATGTAAGGGATTACAGTAATTTCGTTACTTGTAACGGATTACGTACAAGTCTGGCCTAGACCCCTCCAGCACACATGGAGATCTTGGAAACGACGTTGAGAGGATGCCACACTGGGCGTCGGCGGTGCCTCAATCTAAGCCCTGGGCCTCGGTACCTCGGAGACGGCAGCTTTCTGCTTTGACTGGGGTATACCCCCTTGGAGCCTGATGCTTCGACCCCAGTGAGCGACAGCACCATCATGGTCCTGGGGCTCCTTTGTGCAACCGTGCACCGATCAAACGGCAGGCTGCAGATCCCCTTGGCCCGCTGCTGACCCGCCTCAACGAAATGTGGACATCTTCAAATCGGAATGACATCCTCCCTAATAACAACAATCCATCTCGTCGTCATCTTGCATGTATGTACTCATCGTATTATCATGTTCATTAGACGCGGCACCGCCGGCCTCCATGGTACGGGCTGTTGGCTTTCCGCGGTGTCGCGGCTCTTAAGAGCCCAATTATTATTATTATTAAAAACTGTAGGGTGCCCATTTGTAGCGAACTAAGTCCTTCTTCTTTCCTAGATATTACTGAGAACTTCGTTTTTCTCCTTTTCTAGATATTATAAAGTCAGTTGTTAGCGGCGCCCTCCGCTAAGCGTTCCGCAACGAAGAAGTTGCTACTGCGCCTGCGTGCCGATAGCCTTGACTGTGGAGTTCCCGCTATCGTAGCGGGCTGCGGAGGGCCTTGCGGGACGGCGAAAACGATCTACGAAAACTCCCTCATGTCTTCCTCCTACCGTGTTCTTCTTGCGATACATTTCGTTTACTATTTTGACTTGAAATGCCGTCACTTCGAATCTACCTTTAGCGCGACTTCAAATTTACCTGCTTAGACTATGTTGATAGATCGGCAGTTCACCTTTTTTATGTACAGTTTGAAGTCTAACATCCAAACTGTTTGTACTACCGTGTCTGTTCGCCGATACGTGCTGTTTGTAACTTTTTCGTATCAATTATGCTATGTCGAGCAAAAATAAACAGTCGCCTGCTTGAATTAACTTTTGTTCGAATAATTTACCTGTGATTGTTGTCCACTGGTGCGCACCTCCCAATGAAGCGAAGGCGCAATGCAAGCGAACGACACAAGCCGACAAGCCAATGAACAGAATATTATGGGGGCCGCCATCTTTAAAAACTACAAAAAAAAAACCGAAACATAAAAACAGGTGAAAGGACGCTTTTACGAGTTCATATAATTATTGAAGAAACTTTCACTCTCTTAAAATGAGTTGATTGTAAATATATTTTAGATTGTAGTAATAATATATTATGAGTTTAGTTCTACAGTGTATTTTTATTGACACAAGGCCTTTGATCACGTGGTTTGCGATTAATTTACCATTTACCAAAGGTGTATTCCACAGTAAACAAATTTGTGAAAAGAACAACGCGCACTTGAGCTTCGTACGAGTTTCACTACTCTGGGGCGGTCATCGGACCCCAAGGACCACCACGACTTCGTGCCCACTGCGTTCAACCACGCCAGCAGCAGCCCAGGGGAGGCCGCTGCAGCCGCCGAGCAGTCGAATAAACGCCGTGTGATGAGCCGTGAAGGTAAACGCCAGTTGGGAGGCACTCACTTGATCGAATGACGTTTTAGCGAACGCCCACGTTTCATCGAACGACACTTTAGCGAATAGTCGGACGCCGCGAAGCGGCGTTTTCGGGTGGGCCAAGTGAGTTCATATTTTTGTAATGAGTTGCCGTAGACTGTCGCCGCGAAGCGGCGTAAAGCGCAGCGCGACGGATGGGTTAACGCGCGCCCCCGTTATTCGCTAAAACGACCATTCGCTCAAATGTCGCCGTTCGCTAAAATGTCATTCGCTCTTGTGATATGGACCCGCGAATTTCGTTTCAGCGTGCGACTACGGAAGCATGTAGCGTAGCGCAACCCAGCGCCCGTGCCACCGCTGGCAACCGCTGGTTACCGGGTGCGCTGATGCCAGTGTGCCTCGAAATCGCGGCTCGAGCTCCCGGTAGCAACACGTCTCGTTTTCCCAGTTGCCTCGCACACCGCGAGAAGCCAGGGGCACGTGTGATTTTACGGTGACAGCTGTGAGAGGGCAACTTCACCGGGGAAAGAATGAAATGAGACGCCGTCTCGCTTGGCTACACTCATATGATGGTGAATCCGAGTGGTCGCCTCTCTTCTGACCTTGATTCAGCAGAGCGCCCCCTCCTCGCCGCCAGAGCTACTCGGGATTCTTTTCAGCCGATCACAACTGCTGGCTTCAGAGCGCTCCGAGATTCTCAGACCGGTAATGGAAGTAAAACTTCCTAATAATTTAATAGTGCATTGGAAAAAAAAAAAAAAAAAGATTTTACAGCGTACGGTGGACGATTGAGCAAAATTGGGAAGTTTTCGTAGATGGTTTTCGGCGTCCCACAACACACTCCACAACCCGCTACGAGATCCGGGTTTCTTCAATCGAGGCTAGCGGCGCGCAGGCGCAGTAGCGGCTTCTTCGTTGCGGAGGCCTTAGTGGAAAGGGGGACGCGGTCTACGAAAACTCACGCTCGTAACGTGATGAAATATTGGATGTGACATAAATTGTTTTACGCATTGCATCGGCATGTAAAACAACAAAAAACAGCAGTATACGAATTGATTTTTGCAGAAGAGAGCGAAAGCCAATGCTTGGAAAGAGTTGTTAACTCATTGCGTTTTCGACAGGGAACACGCTGCGATAGCGATCATGCGTACGGCAGAGCAGGCAAATATAAAATGGTTAATAAACCATATTTTTCTCACGGCGAAATATTGTGCAAACAGGATATAACACATCTTGCCATGTGACACAAATGACTGTGCATTAGATTCGGCTTTCCCTTTATGTTACAACACAAACCTTTGTACGCACTTTTACCAAACCTGAAAATTTCTTGAAGCGACCACAAAACCCGGTGAAACAGTGGCGAGCTCTGCGAGCTGTTTCTTCGTCGGTTAGTCTTAGCGGAATCACCGCCGCGAGATTTATGATCTCGTAAAAGCACTGGGAATACTTCACACGTTGACTTTTCCTGTTACAGTCACAAACAAATGTTGTCCCGTCCGTTGTAATCCTCGCACCGTCGAATGCACAGCACTTTGTGGGACCACAGATCAATCACCGTCATGCCAGACCCCGCACACTACCACAGACCATTGCCGGCCATCGTCAGCAAAACCATGTGATCGCCATCCAAGTACCACGTAACGCCTGCACCACTCCGCACTCCGACGGCTACAGACAGAGTATATAGAGAGCGCTCTGAGAGGGGGAAAGGCGCCCTCGGAATGAACCAGCCGACCAGGCCACATCACTCTCTTTCCACCACCCGATTTCGCGCACTCTGGAAAGAGCGCGCAGAAAGAACCACGCGAATTCGCCATTAGACTGTAGTGTGGGGAGGGCGAGATGGACACAAAGGACAAAAGACATAGAAAGGGATAGAGTTATATGTACACGCTTGCTGCCCGCACGAACGCAAGAGACAAATCGTATCCGTAACTCATAGGCCAATGGCTCAGTGGGAGCGAATTTAATGTGTGCAGTTGCGCGTGTGGAGTGGCACTCCCAGATTACGCGAGGGCACGTCGCCGTCACTCTGCACTGGGGGTAGAGTGGGCTGGGGCCCACATTGCCCGGGGAAGTAGGGCGGTGAAATCTGGCCATACACTCCTGAGGCTGTTTGTGTCTGGAACTTGTGGAGGCACGTCAGTTCCCACCTGGTGTAACCAGATGGGAGAGGATATTCGACTGAAGGGAGAAAGGCAGCGAGTAGCGCTTTCCCGGCGAGACGTGCGGCATCCCTGCGTTCCAAGGGGTCTGCAGGAATATAAGGTGGGTTGGGCTCGGAGGGCGGTGGTAGCCTTGCAAGAATTCGAAGGTACGCAGTAAATGCCTCGCGGCTCCGTTCACCTTCTCATTATTCGGTATGTCTGCGTTGCCAGATGTCCGGGTCACTGTTATTTGGTCTCCGTGGGAGCGGAGTGCCTTACTAAGGAGGCGGAGCTCCCAAACTGTCCCGTGCTGGCCAGTCGGACGGGTACATTCCTGCACCGCCCCTTGAGAGCCGGTGAAAACGTGTAGCTGCCTGCTGTGGTGGGGTGAACGAGACTGAACGGCCCACAGAATGGCCTGAAGAGCCAGTACACTGAGTCTGCCGTTGTCTGGGCACATGCCGAGATGTGCCGAGTTTGTGCCAGACGCCAGCGTCTGGCACAAACTCGGCACAGCTTGAATCGAGAGTGAGTACCTCATCGACGTTCGACGAGGACTCGAATCCAGTCGCAATGCCGTGTGCCCGAGAAATGGTGACTGCCAACTTTTGCTCGGTGGGGTCTTCGGAAGGGTCCGTGAAATGTTGTCTGTTGCGATAACTCCCTGTGCCTCGAGCATGCATGTGCAGCCAGAGCACGCTCCGAAAAGCAGCGAGTGCGTGCCCGAGGCCAGGCACTCACAAGGGACGTCCTCTCCCTTTGACAGTGGCTGCGGACAGCACCCCGTTTAGGAGCGTTGGCTACGGCGACCATCCAAGCAGACGCACCTGCGCGCCATATGGCTAGACCTCGCAAAGTTTATGGCGGATTCGGACGATGCGGCTGCCATTTGCAGTGTGCCAAAAAACTCGTAGACAGTGTTCATATCGGAAACCGGAATGGGATCATGATCAAGGAGCGAAGACGTTTCGAAAATCCTCAGTATCGAGCTCGGTAGGATATGCAGAAATGACGGCGCCACAATGATTGTAGTTATACTAGCACAGGGCTGCTGTTGCTGGAACGGTGTAAATGTGCTCGGATTTTTGCATTTAGGGGTTCTTTACTCCTGCTCCTGTGCCTCTCTGTTTCATAGGGGTGTCCCCCCCCCGCCCCCGTCGGGCTTTTTTTTTGGGTAGGGGAGTGAAGTCCCCCCGCTGTTTTCCGACACAACTAGATGGCAGTGTGTACATCCTTCTGCTGTCAATTGGTTCAGCTTCGTCTCTAACAGATCAAAGCAATGAAGGGCAGACCGTGTGTGAACAAGTTGCCTGTCAGCTTCGCTTTTCATGTCTGGCTTATTTGGTTCACCCTCAAGCTTATACAGGTCGCGGTTATAAAGCCGCGGTTTCGTGCTTCAGCACGAAACCGCGGCTTTGAAACATGCTTTTAAGGAATGAGCGCTTGCTCTAGAAGGGCACATTCTAAAAGAGGGAACAATAGTATGGTGCCTGTAACGTGCCTTTGGCTCGTTTGTTGGCAGCGTCTTCAAAAGCAATCTCGATTTAATGCCTGATGATGTCGCAGAAGTGTGAAGTTGCGACCTGTCTCCAGAAAAAAACAAAAAAAATCGGTGGTGCCTTTGGTGGGTGAGACGTATGGTTTCGTACCTCTCTCTTACTCGAGCGAAAAGGCGAACAAAAGCTCGCACTGCAGAACCCAGGGATCCTGGGTTCGAGCCCCACACCTGCCCGTTTCGATCTGGATGAGCATCGTACCGGCATGCAGTCGTGTATCACTACTGCGTGAGCACGTTAACGACCCCAGGTTAGCAGTCATACTGCATTGGCAAAATTGCTCATCTACAGTGTAAACCAGTGTTGCCCCATCCTGGCAGACGGACTTTATGCTGTACAAACACTACTCGTCCAGTTTGACTTTTTTTGACCTCTCGATTATGATACGCATTCTTTTTCCGCCAATCTTTTGTGTCTGCCTCAGTGGACAGGTGATAGTGCTGTGCATTTCTTTGTCATGATACAGACAGCTGATAAAAGTTGTTAGATGTACACCTCTCAGACAGCGCTGATAAAATAAAGGCCAGCACATTGGTGAGGCAGTGCCATTTTAAATCAGCTTGTAACATCTGGTACGGGCCCAACAGTCGTAAGCAAGTTGAAGGGGAAGATGTCACAAGCAAACCTAAAAGTTCACAAGAAAAAAAATAAAAGAGGCAGAGAGCATGACTTTTTTTCTTTTTTGATGTTTTCCTTTCTACTCCAGTCTCGGGTTAGTTAAACATGGTTAATATTCACCAGCTTGCCTGCACCCTCGCTATATTTTCTCTGTTCTTTTTTTTTTTTTTTGAGGCAGTGACTATTTTGACGTTCACCTTCAGAATAACTTCGAAATTACTTTGACGTCTACGACATCACTTCTGTAAAACAAAAATAGTGTTCAAAATATCTTTTTCGTCCCTTGTCAAAATGATGGCTTTATCATTCCGACGTCTCCCGTCAATGTCACTGGTGGCTGTTTAGATCTTATTTTGTTTGTTCTCGGTGTTGCATTGCCGAAGTCACATATCTTTCTGTTGTGTGTCTACTCGGCGTGTTGCGTGTTGCGGTGTCCTACTCGGCACTAGAAATGTCACATTCGGCGGGTGAGTGACGTTGCCCGAGAGCAACGCTGTGCTTTCTGAAGTCTTTTCAGCAGGCAATCTTTGGTAAAATTTTGAACTCACAACAAATGCGAGCTGAATATCCCTTCATCTTTTGTCTGCACGTAATGAATGCAACTGCTTACACCACACCGCTCAGTAGGGTGACCGTCTTCCTCAAGGTACAAAACGGGACATCCCAGCCCGGGGGGG